GTTGTTGTTGGTTGTTGTTGGTTGTTGTTGGTTGTTGTTGGTTGTTGTTGTGGTTGTGGTTGTGGTTGTGGTTGTGGTTGTTTTTGTTGTTGTTGTTTTTTTTGTTGTTGTTGTTGGTTGTTGTTTGTTGGTTGTTGGTTGTTGTTTGTTGTTTGTTGTTTGTTGGTTGTTGTTTGTTGGTTGTTGGTTGTTGGTTGTTGGTTGTTGTTTGTTGGTTGGTTGGTTGGTTGGTTGGTTGGTTTGTTGTTGTTGTTGTTGTTGCTTGAGACTCCGAACAAAGGAACCGAGCAATACAACTATTTCTATCCCTATACTTAACTTTTTGTATATAGTTCTATTCCCATTTCTACTACTACGACGACTGCTACTACTACCACCACCAACAACTTTACATTTTATTGCTGTACATTAATGGCCATTGTTGTGGGTGTGTAGCCTGTGGTGGAACTTACCATCAGCAGTCCAACGTTTAGACGCCCTAACGGAGTTGCTCCAGCGCGGTAAGCGGGACCTCGGGGTAGGGGGCGTTTCGTTTGGCAGATGTATACCCGGGCCGAACCCGTTCGTCCGGTGGTTTTTGGACACCCCGAATCACCTCAGGCAGAGGCTATAGACATAGACACCTCAAGCGGAAGGTCCTGGTGGTTCTACATCATGCTAGCAGCCCGTTGAATAACTACGGACAAAACACGTTGGGTGCGTCCAGAACCGATTGCGAAGCCTGCTGAATGTTCTTGCAAATTTGGACACCCAGAAACAGCCCCAGCTTGCCCCCGACAGAAACATGTTCCTCGGGAATCGCACGATGATCGCACACAGTGACAACAAGGACTATGCCCTATAGGGATGCAAGTACCTTCTCAGAAGGTGATTGGAGACACTCTTATGTAGGTTTTGAGGCTCCAAGTACCTTCTGAGAAGGTACTTGGATCCCCAGGGATGCAATACCATGTACCTATACAGTAGCCTATACAACCAGCCTTGATATTACCAAGTCTTCAGCCTTTTCCTGGACCCTCTATACCTATTTTTCGAGACTTCTCCGGTTCGTCCAGCTCTTTCCCTCCCATTTTTGGGGTGATTACTTGATCCTTTTGGTCAGGATCGTGCAGGCAGGGTCTCGTTGGTGTTCGGGTTTCAGGTCAGGAACACTCAGAACGGACCTCAACACACATGGACCTTGAACCGGGAGCTCGCTTGAGAAACTGGGCACAACTGGGCCAAACGCGTGCAGGTTTTGAGGATGCCTTGAAGTCCCTCGAGTTACAAGCCTCGCAGGCGTGGCGTGGACCCGCGCTTCGGTCCGTCCGTGCGTTCGCACGGCCCCGCCTCCCGGTCCCTCCGGCCCCAGAGCCGCCTCGCCCGGAGAGTCTGAGAGACCCACGACGCGCACGCGGCGGTCGTGTTCACGAGGCTTCTCGGACAGCGTTCGGACAGCGTGGACCCGGCAGAAGCACCGAATCACCCGGCAGAACCGACGCCACAGCGTTTCGGCACGGAAATGGACGACGATCTGACTGGCCGGACGGATGCCGTCGACGTCGGAAAGACCAGTCGAGTGGCTCGGTCCAGACCGTTGGACTCAGCGGTGACACGTTGGCCGCTGAATCGAGCGGACGGATTTGCAGACATACCCTAAGGATCCAGTCGTACCTTCTCAGGTACGGTGATTGGAGACACTGCTATGTAGGTGCCAGGAGGGTCCAGTCGTACCTTCTGAGAAGGTACGACTGGATCCCTAGGGATAAATACATATTTGACGTCATGACGTGAGTGTTGAGGCCAAAGGCCTCGGGTCACTATGTGTGAACTGCACGCTGAGGATGATGTGGGAAGAACATGCAACAAAGGGTATATAATATTATATAGTGGTGTCTATATAATATATATATATATATTAGTTTGTTTAATTAAAAATATATATATATAAACGGATGACATTAGACCTAAATGATACTAGATGCAAGGAGAGTGGGCACAACATACTGTTGCGCAGGGAGCAGGGGACAAAGCTATCATGAACATGTGACAGCTAGGGATGTTGACTATCTGCATGTCTAAAGGGATACTCCGGCCGATGTTGACACACGATTCTTGCCTCGTGTCTGTCAGGCAGCACAGGCAATGCAAATCCAAGATGCACCCTCTGGTGCTGATGTGACAACAGCCGACACCGCTGTTGCGACGACGGCTTCTGCGGATTTGACGTCACTCGGATGATAGTGGTTCACAGTGGTTCAGTGTGACAGCAGTTTCTTCCAGTTCTACCTCAAACGAAGGTGGCAAGGATATGAACGCCAGATATTTCTTGGGGAGATTTGGGGAGGATTCCTGGAATCTTGGAGTGATAGAACTAGGGCAAAACATCCTTAGGATGCCTTACCTTATTGTTTAGGCTCAGACTTTCGAGCGAATTTGTTGGTTTCATGAGGGTTATGCTTTACAGGTTGATTTTGGCGCGTGTTGATAGCCTTCCAACAACGGATGTCATGAAGGATTTTCATGGGAAGTTCTCGGCTTTGGGAGATTCCAAGTATGGACAGAATGGGAGACAATAGCAATCAATAGTTTTGCAGAGAGAAATCATCAGATGCAAGGTACTTATTCAGGAAAAGGGCCAGCAGCTATGTTGATGTGATTTGGTTATGCAATTCTCTCCATAGCTGTTGCCTGCATTACATTACTTTACAGTTCTGAGTCTTGGGAAGGACATTCTGCATGGCTGACTGGTGTTTCTGGTGTCAAAGAGGGCTGGTTGCAGCCCGACTGGTCTCTTTGTTTCGCATAGGTAGGTGAACAAATCCAACAAAAATAGATCGGTTCAGCACCGCTTTTCGTCCTGGTTTTGGGATTGGATAGACGTGGACAGCGACCACAGTGCTGAGTGCTGCTCTCAGGCAAAGTGCGGAGTTGGAAGAGGCGGGGCCCTTGGAAGTTTAGACTGTACTGCCTCGGGGATCTTCCCATCCAGGTGATGCTTTAGAATTTGATGATTGAAACCTTGACACTAGCCCAGGTCCAATCGGGCCCAGGTCCAAACCTGTAGGCTACGGTTACTTCCGAGTGAATGGTAGAGTGATTTTGCTCTTGGCCCTTTCTAGACTCCATGTAATGATCCTGGAACTGGAAAACCGCGTATTTGCAGAGGAAAATTGTCATCCAAGAGGCCATGCCATGCGTTTCCATGATCTTTCATGATCATTGCATTATTTCAGCGAGTGTAGTCGAGTTGAATCGAATCAATAGAGATGTTCACTATTTGCATGTCTTATGGTATACTCGATATTGATTTCTTGTCCTATCTTGACACGCGATTCTTGCCTCGTGTCAGGCAGCGCAAATCCAAGATGCACCTTCTGGTGCTGATGTGACGGCAGCCGACACCGCTGTTGCTCTGACGACGGCTTCTGCGGATTTGACGTCACTCGGATGGTAGTGGTTCACAGTGGTTCACAGTGGTTCAGTGTGACAGCAGTTTCTTCCAGTTCTCCCTCAAACGAAGGTGGCAAGGATATGAACGCCAGATATTTCTTGGGGAGATTTGGGGAGGATTCCAAGGGGTTGTGCTTTACAGGTGGATCTTGTCACTTGCTAATAGCTGTCCAACAACAGATGTCATCAAGGATGTTCATGAGCAGGTCTTGGATTTGGTAGAATCCAAGTATAGTTTGAACACCGCCAACTGGCAATGAGAAACCAATATATCAATGAGACAGACATGGAGACAAATCAATGTCAATAATTATGCAGAGAGAAAACATGAGATCCAAAGTACTTATTCCAGAAATGGCTAGCGGCTAGGTGTTTTTAGGGGTAGCTTACCAATCCAACAAAAATAGATAGGTTCAGCACCGCTTTTCGTCCTGGTTTTGGGATTGGATAGACGTGGACAGCGACCGCAGTGCTGAGTGCTGCTCTCAGGCCAAGTGCGGAGTTGGAAGAGGCGAGGCCCTTGGAAGTTTACACTGTACTGCCTCGGGGTTCTTCCCATCCAGGTGATGCTTTAGAATTTGATGATTGAACACCTGTAGGCTACTGTTACTTCCGAGTCGCTGAATGGTAGAGTGATTTGTTCTTGGCCCCTTTTGCACTTCATGAAATGATTCTGGAACTGGAAAACCACGTGTTTGCAGAGGACAATTGTCATCCAAGAGGCCATGCCATGCGCTTCCATGATCTTCCATGATTGTTCAGGGGGTGTAGGCGAGTTGAATCAAATCAATAGAGATGTACACGTTTTGCATGTCTTAAGCGATACACGGTGTTGTTTTCTTGTCCGATCTTGACACGCGATTCTTGCCTCGTGTCAGGCAGCGCACATCCAAGATGCATCCTTTGGTGCTGACTTGACGGCAGCCGACACTGCTGTTGATCCAACGGCTTCTGCGAATTTGACGCCACTCGGATGGTAGTGGTTCACAGTGGTTCAGTGTGACAGCAGTTTCTTCCAGTTCTCCCTCAAGCAAAGGTGCTTTTCACGCTGCTGGAAATTAGTCAAGTATTGGGGAGAAGGATGTTTTTGGAAAGGATATGAAATGTTGGGGAGGATTCCTGGAAGCAGTCTTGGAGTGATCGAAGTAGGGTTAAGTAAGAACATCCTGAGGATTTCTTGCTTTGTTGGAAAAGCCTCAGAGTCATTTGGAGGTTAGTGGCTGCATGAGGGTTATGCTTTACAGGTGGATATTGGCACATGTTGATAGCTTTCCAACAAAGGATGTCATGAAATGTCATGAAGGACGTTCATGGGAAGTGTTTGGCTTTCGGGGAAATCCAAGTATAATATGGACAACCAGCAACTGGCAATGAGAACTGCAGTGCCAATACCATACCAATGGGACAGAATGAGAGACAATATAAATCAATCACCAGAGAGAACACATAAAACCCAAAGTACTTAAGGTACTGATTCGGACAAAGGGTTGGCGGCTGTTTTGTATTTAGGGGTAGCCGGTACTGATCGGTTTTTGCAGGTTGTCCAGTTTTACTTTCCTATTTGGGGCACATGGAAAAAACCTATGGTCTTCCCATGTCCCCATGTTGACGCTGCAACCTGTGCTGTCTCCCATCACCACTCTTGTGGGAGTATATCTTGGGAATGATCAATCATCGTCTACAATAACCACCTGATTAAGAGTTAGATTGTGTTAGATGTTGGATGACTGGTTCTAACTCTCTAGATGTCAGATTTTAGATGACTGGATGTTAGATGTTGGATAACCTTATCAAAGCAATGCTGCACTTGCAAAGCGATACTCCGTCGCCGAGGCAGACAGAGCCAAGGGCTTGTGATCCAGAGGAAGGGAGCTGGGAGAGATCGCAAAGTGTCAAAGCAAGGTGCTTTGGTTGGTTCGATCATGACAGTATACTTTTTGGATATGGCGTGGAGCTTGTGGCAATTACCTGGAATCTGAATGACCTCTACTTTGGACCACCAGCCTCCCCAAATATGGTCTTTTCGTATCAACACAGAGGTCAAATGGGTTGCATTAATATATATAGAGAAAAGCCAGCTTACCGGTGGACGCGGTACCTCAGTCAACCCTCCTGACGCAGCATGGCTCGCCTCTTCGCAGATTCACCAGGGCCCTATTTTTCACTTCAGCTTGTTCCAGCCTGAGCTTTCAAAAAAGTAGCTTCACACACCGTCAGTTGCAACAAGTTCTTCAGCATTTTTCAGCATTGCAGCACTTGGTTCGCACTTCTCGGTTGGCTTCGTGAGATCCAGTTTCTAAAGAAGTGAGATCGAGTTCTCGTCGGTCGTCGGGAAGTTCACACGAAGCAAAAAACACCACTGGACACACCGCCGTTCCGCGCGCAAGACTGCGCAGATGTGGCCTGTGATGAGACCGTACATTTCGGGTACGCCGATCGCCTATACCTGTCATAAACACCTTTAAGCATCTCCAAACCCATTTGCGCCTTGAGTCAACTGTCAAAGGTCTTGGTGACATCTTGGGCGAAACATCAAACCAAGCCCGCAGGATGCTGTGCATGAGAGTGCTGGGCTGGGAGGTGCATGAAATTCGTTCCTCGTGGGCGCGGACCTCTTCATGGACCTCGATCCATGGCGAGGTCGCGCCGGTTGGGCGTTCAGAATGGTTGCAGTTCTGCGTGGTTGGACCTTTGTGGATGATTTGATAGTAGGTTACACCAGCAGAGGTTGAAGAACCCTATAGACTATCCTATAAGTACCCCTGTAGGGTCCTATAAGGTCACTTAACCTCTGTTGGCAGTAGGTTCATATGTCTTAATTATATATACCGTTGTTGCATATCTTTAAATCCGTTGGAATTTCAAGGAATTGGACACACACACAGAGACAAACAATACAGGCAATCCGGTATCAAACAATGCAAGAACATGGGATAACACACATATATATAATACATATAATATATATATATGTTGGGACCTTCGCAGTGTCCTTTTCGATTCGAAGGGCTTAGGTCACTGGTGCTTTAAACCCAAAACGAAGGGCACAAAAAGAAAGCCCCTGGTGACCGCTGATGGTGACCACATCTCGTTCTTGGCAACCAAACCTGAAACCTCAACCCTCAGCCGGTAGACCAAGACGTCGCCGGTAGACCTGCACCTTGAAGCCAATGTGACTGGGGCCGGAGTCCGACGCATCACGCCGAAATGCGGACCATAGGACGACTGTACTGTAGACTCTGGATGAATGACACAAATGTTGCCCCGAAGAGGTTTTACAATCCATTGGGTGGGTGGATATTTGTCAAAAGTCGGTATTAGGGCGAGGAAGATGGGGAAAACCATGGCATAAAACCGCATGGTCACTGGATTCCATGTCTAGTAATTGCAAACGCAAGATGCACGTCGTGTAGCACTTTGACGGATGGAAGGAATGTTCATGGCTAGGGGACCGATATGACTGCCAGTAGCTCCACTCTTTTCGGTGGGGATGCAGGATGATTTAATCATCAACTTAAGCAATCATATCTCTTTCATGTTTAATGCATTGCTCCGGCCACAAGACTCGCAAGAACTCCTTTGGGGCCCAAAAGCACACTGAACTACACCAAGCAGGTCCTCCAAAAGACGACCTACTACTACTACTCCTACTACTCCTACTACTACTACTACTACTACTACTACTACTACTACTACT